ACATCCAGAAACTTTGATCTTCTTAAGCTGAAGAGACGTAGGTTGATTCAGAAAAGTCTTGAGTTTTTCATCGGCTTCTTGAAATCTTGCCAATGACTCGCAGTTCAATGGTTTTGAAATTGCCTCAATGCGGGAAAGAGCGTCTGCAACTACGTTATCTGCCCCGCTGATATGTTGAATATCTGTAGTATATTCAGAAATAAATGCAACCTGATTTCTTTGCACAGGAGGTAAATTGTCACGCTTTTGTCCGAAAACATAAATTAAAGGTTTGTGATCGGTGAAAATAGTGAAGTGATGTCCTTCGAGAAAATGACGAAAATGGTGGACTGTCATATATGTACCAAGAAGTTCCCGGTAATATGCCGGTAACTGCGCTTGTTTAGGAGTCAACTTTTTTGAGAAAAATGCGAGCGGCTGCCAAGAACCACTAACAAACTGCTGAAAACTTCCGCCAGCAGCAAAGCCCGAAACGTCAGCGAATATACCGAGAGGTACACCAATTCGTGGATGAACTAAAAGAGTAGCCGAGGAAAGACAATCTTTGCAAGCTTGAAAAGCTTTTTCAAGCTCTTGAGTCCATGGTACCTTTTGCTTACCTTTCAAAGGTGGGTTACTTAGTGCGTCGTGAAGTGGTGCTTCAAACTCAGAAGCGTGCGGAATAAATCGTCGATAGAAATCCATCATACCGAGAAAACGACGTAAGCCCTGCGCAGTTTGAGGCAAAGAAAAATTTTGAATTGCCGTGATACGCTCATGCGGAGCTTGAATACCGCTCGAAGATACCATATATCCAAGAAAATTGAGTTCCGGAACACCGAAAACACATTTTGACGCATTAACTATGACACCGTATCGAGAAAGACGCTCGAAAACAATTCTGAGGTGCTTTTTATGCTCATCAATAGAACGAGAGAAAATTAATATGTCGTCAATATAAGCGTAGCAAAAATCTAAACCGAACAGAACTTCATCCATAAAGCGTTGGAAAGTTTGACCTGCGTTACGAAGACCGAACGTCATATAAGGAAATTCGAAAAGACCGAATGGTGTAGTAATGTCAGTTTTGCAAATGTCAACGAAAACAGGAATTTGGTTATACGCTTTGACAAGGTCGATTTTTGAAAAGATCGTGCAACCATCTAAATTACTTGTGAAATCGTGGATGTGCCGAACAGGATAACGATCCGGAATAGTACGGCTATTGAGATGACGATAATCACCACAGGGTCTCCAGTCCGACTCGCCTTTTGGAGCTAAATGCAACGGTGACGACCAACAACTTGAAGAAGGGCGGGCTGTGCCAGCCTCGACCATGTCCTTAAATTGTTTCTTGGCGACGTTGAGTTTGTCCGGAGCTAATCGACGAGGAGTACTAGAGACTGGAGGACCTGGAGTAGTGTGAATGTAATGAACAGTATTGTGTTTAATCTCACGATCTTTACCACAAGGATGAGTCAAATCAGGAAATTCAGCGAGAATATGAGAAAATTCGGGCAAAGAAAACATTGCGACGGTTTTCACACTGAGCTGAAAAACTTTTTTTACCTGAGCGTTTGTTCGTAAATTAGTGGTACCATCAACGAGAAGTTTCATATGACAATCAGGTAGCAAATGGAAGTGCGACATAAAATCCGAACCGATGATTGGGACATCAACGTCAGCGATGACAAACTTCCATTTGAACTCCCTCCGCAAACCAAAATTAAGATTAAGCGGGAGATAGCCGTACGTCTTAATTGCACTGCCGTTCGCTGCAACCAAGTTAAAATTAGTAGGAGAAGAACGCTGACGAAGAAAACGACGAGGATAACAACAAATATCAGACCCTGTGTCAACAAGAAAATTGCGCTTGGAGGTCTGATCGGTCACGAAGAGACGGCTGCCCGGAGACAAACAGTTCGACGCCGTCCTTACGAACTGCCGTAGTCGTTTCCCGGTTTGTAAGCACACGGCTTGGTGCACTTCGTAGCTTTATCCTGGAATTTGCGATGGTACCAACACAGACGAGATGAATCAGGACTGAAATCTTGCTTATATTGGCTGCGTTGACGTCCTCGGCTGTTGCTTCGATTTCTACGAAGCTCTACGACTTCCTTTGACAACGATTCGATGGCACAAATCAGCGCGTTGTTTGATACTTCTTGTTCGGCGGACGTTGAAACAGAGGTGGCTCGGACGGATAAAGGCGTTGCTGGAGACACCTCGATGATTTTGTCAGCGATTTCGGACTGATTATCGAGGGTCAAGGTCGGTTGAGCCGTCATTTGCGCAGTGATGATGGCTTGAACGTGAGACGGAAGACGCTGGAGCCAAAACTAACGCAAGAGGTTATCCGGGATGACTGTCGTGCCAATAAGCGTGCGAAGGTGGCGAAGGAACTGCGAGGGTTTGTGATCACCTAGTTCCTCCTCACTAATCAGGCGCCTCACGCGTTGTTCCTCTGAGGCAGACAAACGCTCAATCAGTTTGGTGCGCAAAAAAGTATACGGATTATCGGCGGGCGGATTGACGATGACATCCTCAACTTCGACAGCTATACGAGTATCCAATTGTGAAACGACGTAATGGAATTTTGTTACTTCGTTTGTGATGTTGGAGATAATGAATTGCGAATCCGCCTGCGCGAACCACATGCTAGGCCGGTCCGACCAAAAGGGCGGCAGCTTGACAGCAACACGATGAACTGCCGGTGCAGGGATGGGGGTAACTGGGGCGGGTGCGCCGCCTGCTGCAAGGCCATCATTGTTCTGCTGTCGCTGTTGTTGCAGTTGTTGCTCCTGCTGCTGAGCCAGTTCCCGAGTGAGTCGCTCGTTGTCGAGGCGAAACTGTTCGAGTTGTGCAAGGAGCTCTTCTTGCTGGTTGTCTCGGGGTAACACCATACTTCACTCTCAAAAGTTAACTTTCTTTTTTTTTTTAAATATACTTTAATTCGGGGTCACCAATGAAGAGAATGAATGTGTAGAGACAATATATAGCAAATAGCTTTATTATATGTGATTATGATTAGCTGTCATAATAACGACTGAAGAAAAATCATGTAGAAACATTGGCGCGTCGAATATAACAAAATCAGCTCTACGACGGCAACTTCACAATCGAACATCGAACATTGAAAATATGCCGTACGCGCGTCGCCACAGATATAATTCGGCCCAAGTTTCTTATAGCGCGAGATGTTCTATAAGTCGAGCTCAAATTATAAGGAAGGGACAGTCTTGCTCAGTTAATCACAATGAGAGAAAGAACTTAGGTATAATCCAAGTTTATTCAGACTCATGCGCTCACCTTGCAAGGCTAGAAGTGAATGCTAGCCTGTGCAGAGGTGGGCCTATTTATACATAGATTTTCCCGCTTATTTTTGCAGGAGAGATGTCATCGAAAATTCGAGAGGCATTCGCGAATTTTGAGAAATGAGTTTTCTTAATTTACAAGTAAATAACCATTAATATTAAGTTTTTAACACATGTAAACTTTACAGAATTTGTTATTTGTTGATTTTATACAATATACAATTATCGCCAATAGTGTCGTCAAAAGTTATTAACTAATAAAGTTAATTAACGTGATATTACAATATTTACAATAGAAAATTCTTAAATTTTCATATAACTTTATAGTTGATTAATTTTGGAAGTATTCTCCAAAATTAATTATTTAAATTAATTAATAACATTTGAATTATGACTAATTTTTCATATTTGTAACGGTTTTTTCTAATCTTAATATGCAATTATTAGATTAATTATCTAAGATTTCTAAATCATAAATTTATCATTATCAAGTATAAACTTAATATTTTCGTTCTATATATAGCTTATTGTTTAAATAAATTATTAATTGTTTATTTACTAATAACAGTTATTATTTAGCTGTTATTAACGAAACCAATTCTTACTCATGTTCTATGCTTATTCACTTTGCATATGAATTATTTACATTTTTCTAATATTTCATATGTTAACGTAATAAATAAATCAACTTTGCATATTGATATTCATTATTATTTCATAATTGAATGTGATTTTTGTTATAATATTATGAATCTACATGCTAAAATCTATATAATCAATACTTTGTTATATTAAAATTATCTCTAATTAACATATTTTTCTTAATATCCTAAATCATTATATCTATGTCTATTACTTTGTGACGTCACGCTGTTTATTTTGATTCGACTCTTATTTGTATACAATCGTGTAAACAGTGAGGTAGCGCCGCTTAATGTATTGATTGGAATAAACAGATAGATACGTTAGACTAGTTGCAGTAATTCAGTGATTTAATAAATAGCTCATAAATAGGACCGTTACATAATTTTATTTGAAAATAATCGATTAATCAAATGAATAATCGATGGTTGTTTTAATTAAAAAAAAAGAATAAAGTGCTTATAAATATATGGAAACAATATTATAATAAGAAAAATAAATAGGAAATAAGAACTACTGATAAATTAAACAATGCAAATTACGTTCTGATGGTATTTATTAAAAGGTCATTGCTTATTTCAATCATTTACAATTTAACAGGCAAATATTCAACATCGTCCAATGATTTAAATAAACTTTGAATTGCTACTACAACAATAAAATTTTTAAACTTAAATGTAGTAAATATGTAAATAAAATTTTTTTATGCACCTTGATTTTGTCTGTCTTCGACGAATGGGTTGAAAACATCATGATCATTGTTATCCATTCTCGATTCTACCTATTGCACCTCAGCTCACGTCTCACGCTCACCTCACATTCAACCGTCACAAATTTCTTTTCTATTCGAACGTATGTAAATAGAGAGAATAATATCCACGCATGCGCAAAACACAAATTGCACAAAGTGCAGATCGATTCGATTATTGGCCAAAAAATAATCGAAGCTGTAATAATCAAGTTTCAAAATAATCGAGAAAAAAAATCGAATATTTTGTTAAATAATCGAATGCTTATCGATTAATCGAATATAATCGAACATCACTAACCAACAGAACAGAACAGAAACACTACACTCACTACAGTATCAACACGTGTTCCGTGAATTGAATGTGTTTTTATATTTATTTAATAAAAGGTTTTCAATTGTTTTCATTGAATTGAATAAAATGTTAATAGAAAAGTCACTCATTTAGGTTTAAATGACAAAAGTAATTATTTATTGTGAACAGTTAAAAATATATAGTTTTAAATGCTACACACATGAATGTTTCATTAGGACATTTGTGCTATTTTTCTGTATAAATTTTAACTGCGATTTTGATTTTTAATAATATTATCATGGGGGTTACAAAACAATATATGAAATATATTGCCGGAGGAAATTTAAATATCATTGCCAATCCAAAATGTAACATAATATTTGTTACATTAGAAGGTCAAGAAGGAAGATTTGTAGCTGTAGGTGCTTGTGAACACATCTACATTTGGGACCTTCGTTTAGGTGAAAAAGTATGTATTACAAAAGTGTTAGCAAAACTATATAACAAGATAAAAATTATGTTTGTTATATGAAGTAATTTTTATGTATAGATTCAAGTTTTATCTGGAGAAAAAGCAAATGTCACATATTTAGCAGCATCTCCAAATAAAAGACAAATTGCTGCTGGATACGATGATGGATCAGTGAAAACATTTGACTTGCGTTCTGCTGAAAACATAAGTGTTTTTATTGGGCATCATTGTGAAGTTACTTGTTTAGCTTATGATAATTTAGGCCACCGATTAGTATCTGGATCAAAAGTAAGTTATTAAATTTTTATTTCTAATTTTGAACTTGAAAAAAATATCAACTTTTATGATTCAAGGATACAGATATAATTGTATGGGATGTAGTTGCAGAAACTGGTATTTGCAGATTAGTTGATCATAAAGGTGTTATTACTCAAGTTGCTTTTATGAAGGACCAAAATATTTTAATTAGTTCTAGCAAAGATACATTTATAAAATTCTATGATCTAGACAACGAATATAATTTTAAAACTCTTGTTGGTCACAGATCTGAGGTATACTGTTATTAAATTTCGCTTATTTGATGTTTGTGTTAATTTTAATTATATCCTTTGTTTAGATTTGGGGATTCACATTAGTTCAAGATGATCATTATTTAGTCACAGGTTGTAATGACAGAGAATTGCATATCTATAAAATTTACTATGCTACTTCAGATACAGCAAACCATAATAAAGAAATCACTAATTTAACATTGGAAGATGATGAAGATGATGACAGCAGTATGGTAAACAATCATTAGTAAACAAGTTGGTTCTGTTCCTTCAAGGAATAAACAAAATAATTTTTTTCTAGAAATATCCATTGCGCTGTATCAAATTAGGCAGTATTGCAAGAATTGGAAAAGGACGTATAAACTCATTAATTTCTGATTATAGTAGACAAGTCATTGGATGTCATGGCAGTGATGAATCAGTGGAATTATTTCATTTTCTATCTGAGGATCAAATAAAAACAAAAAAGTCAAAACGTCTGGAAAAATTAAAGAAAAAAATGGCAAAGTATGTGATTTATTGTATCATGTGGTATTGCAATTTCCTTCCAAAATTTGGTATATCTAATTTACATAAAATTTATTTAAAAATTTTTAATTAGGAATGAAGAAACAAAAGAAAAACTGCACGAGGCAGAAATGAATACAATTTTAAAGGATCAAGTTAATCGTCTTCCACTAATAAAGTTATCAAAAGCAGCAAAATCATTAGACTTGATAATAGGACGAGAAGGAGAGCTTAGAGTAAGTTAATAAATTTAATTTAAATAGTATTATTTTCGAATGCTTCTTATTATAGAAATATTTTCAAAAATATAATCTTCAATATTATTGGAGAACTACAATTTCTGTTCATAACAATATGTAATGATATTAATGAAATAATGTAATTTCATATGAGAAAAAACGTTCACAGGAGCGTGAAATTGTTTTATGCTCCTAACGTCGTTCGATATTTTATGATACAACGTGCGTAAACCAAGATTTAATTTAACAGAAATTCTAAAAAATGTCATGTTTGGTGGCTTCTCTGGGAAATCCGCAAGAAAGTTACATTAGTTATTTTCATTTTCAACAAAAAGCATTTTTTTTTATAAAATTCAGATCGAAAAGTGCACTAAAAAATGACTTGTTCAGTTGTGACATGTAGTATACGTGATATAGATTTTTCAAATAGACATTTCAAATATCGATTAATGAAATTTTCATTTTTTCACGATTTATTTAAATCAACCACTGTTACAGATATCTACAGTTGTGAGTAATAATAGTATTGAACTCCATTCTTTAGTATTAACAGAAAAAAATAAAGAACCACACAAATTGAGAACAGTAAGTTCTCATGGTCATCGTACTGATGTACGAGCTGTTTGTTTTAGTTCTGATAATTTGGCGTTTGCTACTGTAAGTGGAGATTCAGTAAAATTATGGAACAGGTACATTTGAACAATTTATTGAACAATGAGATTAAAAACCAAAATTTATTTTATATATTTTTAATGTTGTAGGCCTACATTAACATGTTTACGAACTGTTGAATGTGGATATGGTTTATGTGTTACATTTGTACCTGGTGATAGAAATTTAATAGTAGGTTTGAAAAACGGAAAAATGTTGATCATTGACATTGCATCTGGTGACATTTTGGAAGAAATTACAGCGCATCAAGCGGAATTATGGAGTGTTACATTGTTACCCACATTGGTAAGCAAAAATGTTACTTTTAGTGTTTTGAATATACTTATTTATTGCTGTTATTGAAGATATTATCATTACTGTTTTATTAATTATTATAAAATAATGTATGTTTGTAGCAAGGAGTTGTTAGTGGTGGTGGAGATAAATGTGTCAAGTTTTGGCATTTTGAACTTATTGTGGATCAAGAAAGTGATAATAAAGCCAAAGTTCTCTCCGTTGTACATAAAAAAACATTAAAATTAGATGAATCTGTTCTTTGTGTGAGGGTGACTCCAAACAATCGATTTATTGCTGTTGCACTTATGGATTCTACAGTAAAAATCTTCTTCTTAGACACATTTAAAGTAAGCCTTCAATTTTTCAAAACATTGATACTTTTTCATACAGTTGTGCGATTAATCAATTTATTTATAGTTTTTCATGTCACTTTATGGACATAAATTACCAGTTTTGACCATGGATATTTCTAGTGATTCTACACTGATTGCAACAGGATCTGGTGATCGAAATATTAAAATTTTTGGAATGGATTTTGGAGATTGCCATAAATCTTTATTTGCTCATGATGATTCAGTTACGGGACTTGCTTTCGTACCTAATACTCATTATTTATTCACGTGCGGAAAAGATGGTCAAGTTAAAGAATGGGATGCTGACAATTTTCAAAAAATTGTTACACTTAAAGTAAATATATAACTTTTTTCCTAGCTCAATTTGAGATTTATAAAAATATTTCAACTAATATTTTGTATAAAGGGTCATGCAGGACAGGCATACGGTTGTGCAGTATCGCCAAATGGACATTTTGTTGCTTCATGTGGTTCTGATAAAGTTGTTCGTATTTATGAAAAAAGCTCAGAAATATTGGTTCTTGAAGATGAAGCTGAAGAAGAGAGAGAAAGACAAGAAAATGATTTAGCAACTAGCGAAACGACAGCAGTTCAAGGGCTAAAGAATCAGATATTACCAACTCGCAAAACAGTGAATAGCGAAAAAGCAGTAAGCTTTTACTTCATAACTTTTTTATTATTTTGAACTTAAATTCTATTCCTGATAAAATTCACGAATTATCTAAAAAATGATGTATTTTATAAGTTTACAATTTAATTTAAATATTCACAATGAATTAATTGTTAACTATAAAATCTTTTACGATAATTCTTATTTATTCTAGTTCTCTAACTCTTCAAAAAATTTTAGATTTTTGATATTTTAGATACTACTGCGTTTAGTTAAGAATTTAGGAAAACCTTAAAAATTTAAATAGTTTAAATGCTCGAAAATCTCGAGAACTGCAAACAATAATAAATAATGTAACGTGTTGTAGTATTATCTATTATTGTTTATATCATAATTTTATTATTATATGCTTTCTTTTTTTATTTATTTTTTTCTATACTTTCATTATTTTATGTTTTACAGGTTTTGGTATGATATATTTATACTCTGCCAATATTAAAAGTTTAATTTTGACTCTATTTACTTAAAAATTAGTATCATATGCATTAGGACCGTCTTAGTGTTTTTAATATTTTTGTGATACCATTTCATAGAGAAATTTTTGCTATGAGAAAAATTTTCGATGATTATATACGTGTAATGTATTGATCTTGCACGAAAATCCGGTCTTGATATAAAGTTTCGAGTCGATTTGAGAGGTCGTAACTGTTCAAATGAAATAGAAATTCGGGACTTAATTTATAGCAAACATGCGTGAAAAATTATGATTTCTACATTTCATGCATTTTTAAACTATTGAATTTTCAAGTTTTTCGCTAAATTTACAATTCGATATATGCATCAGATGCAACAATTTTTATTTAATGATTTTTCAATTCTCACATTTTTATCAATTACACCTACTACCAGGCGGTTGATAAAACTAAGAAACGCGCGCATGAGTGACAGGAGTTCTCATAAACTTATTAAGTAGGTGGTAGTACATTTTCATGATATATGATATTTTATATCGACATTTTCTTTAGCTACTATCATCTCAATAGAACATATACATGAGTGCTATCTTGTCCGAAATCTTACGTAAGTAATAAGAAAGAAATTTCTGCGTGTCGTATAAAATATTTTAATGTAATAAGTTGACTAAGATATTTTCACACTGAATGAATTATTTAATATACTACCCTATCCTAATAATTCATAATAGTTTAAAAAAAAAATAAATAAAATTATCAATCGGTTATTAATAATTATAATTTTTCTTTTTCTTTCGTGTTTTTAAATAAATAAGTATAATTAAAATTTCAAATTTTAGGCTGAATTAATACTAGAATGTCTTGATGTATGTAAAAAATATAAAGAAGAGTGTTCGTTTATTACTTCGTCAAAAACTATGCCAGCTTTACCACCATTAATGCAAGCTTATAAATGTAAAAATGTCGAAGAATTTTTATTAGAAACCATTAAACGAGTGAAGCCAAGGTAATGTATGTTTTTTCGCAGCGTATTTGATTTTATTGTTTAAGTGGAATAAATTAAAAATAATTAACAAAATTACAAATAATCAATCGTTCATCGTTATAATAAACATAATTATTATATTTGCATGTTTTTCTTCACTTTCTAGCGATTTTGATGAAGCACTATTACTGTTACCATATTCGGCTGCATGTGATATTTTAAAAATATTACCAAATCTACTGAAGAGCCAATATGAATCAGAATTAGTAGTAAAATTAACATTGAGTTTAATTCAAGCACATCATGGACCAATTATTGCTAGTCAAGAATTGTTGCCTGAAATAGAAATAATCAAATCTTTGGCTTTACAGCAGATATCTACATTGAGAGTATGAATATTTCATTTTTATTTTTAATAATTTATTAGGTATACATATATATACTTTTCTTTTTAGGATACTCTTGGATTTAATCTATACGGAATGGCTTATATACAGAAAGAAATTGAAGAAAAACAAGGAATTTATTTGTTTAAAGAAGCTACGAAAAATCAGAAAAAAAAGAGCAGTAAAAGAAAGAATAAGGAAATGTCTTTAAAAAGAGCTATGATATCTTTATAAAAAATGTAACAAATTACATTTTTCGTATACAGTAAATATTTTACTGTTTGTACATGTTTCTTTTTAATATATTTCAGAAACAAGTAAAATTATGAGTAGCATAATTACAAAGCAAGATGATTTTAATAAAGCTGATAACCAACATTTTTACATTTACTCACAAGGCTTACTATTTAATTAAATTAATAATAAAATTAGATTCTTTAAAATCGATTTTTTTTTTCAAAAGAATCGAATCGAGTAAATCAAGTTTTCATTATAATAAATTTAAATTACAGTGCACATTAAAAAAGATAAAAATTAACTTATTAAAAAAATCCATCTGGAAATCTAGATTAAATTTGCACATGGATATCCACCTGGATATCCATGTAGATTCGTATGAATTCTATATAGATTTGACCTGGATTTCCAGATACTATCCAGATCGATTTTGATTATAATTATTTATGAAAACTTTGCTTTTGTGAAATTATTATTTTAATACCTTCAAAAATATTAATATTATGAAAAAAATTAGTGATTCGATCATCATGCTAAAATGAGAACATTCATTGCAAAAAAGTTAAATCCGCTTTGAGTTTAATTCTGAGCTTGTATTTTGAATCGCTGAATCCGAATTCAATTAGATGTTGCTAAAATTGCGAAGAAATTTGTTTAAAATGTATTTGTTTAAAGAAACCATCAAACAATGGTTTTTCCGCAATGAATCAATTTTTTTAGAAAATATGGCTTATTTTTAGATAAAAAGATCTTTTGCAACTTTTTCAAAAAATGGATATTTCAAAAGTTATAAATTTTGCAAGGTCAAATATTTAACATTTTTCGTTAACTTTGAGCGTTAATAATTTCTGATCAAATAAATATTTCTAAAAGAAATATCACTTTTTCAATAAGTCTTTGTCTACAGGTTGATATAATTAAAAATTAAGAAGACAGCCTGTGTTAAATGGATAAAATTCATAGCCTTGTAAAAACCACTTTATTGAAGATATCAATATATAAAACTTTTTTTATCTCCAAGTGCTCGGTGTAAGCTTTTATTTTCTCTGTTTCAAGCTCCAAAATTATGATTAGTAGCATCAGAAAGCTCCGTTAACCGTCACGCCTTATTTTAAAAAAAATTGACTTTGCCACCTTTTTCTGAACGTTGGAGTGAACGAAAATTATTTTGGGAAAGCTCATTTTATTCGTTATGATCTGTATTTCCACTTAAGGCGAGCACTTTTTCAAAAAACGATGTTTTAATTTTTTTAGACTATTTTGAAAAAAAAAATTTTTTTCTTAAAATTGTTCTAAAAATTGTAGGCTGTCTTCTTAATTTTTAATTATATCAATCTGTACAAAGACTTACTGAAAAAGTGGGTCTTTTAGAAATATTTATTTGATCAGAAGTTATTAACGCTCAAAGTTAACGAAAAATGTTAAATATTTGACCTTGCAAAATTTATAACTTTTGAAATATCCAATTTATGAAAAAGTTGCAAAAGATCTTTTTATCTTAAATTAAGCCATATTTTCTAAAAAAAATTGATTCATTTCGAAAAAACCATTGTTTGATGGTTTCTTTAAGACCCCGTTCCCATAGCTACGTATGAATGCGGACGGATACGGACGCGAATCGCAACTCTAGTAACGTCACTAAAAATATCTAGTTCGATTATTTAGTACCAATAGTCCAGGCGTTATAGCCCGAAAATGAGCATTTCGCAATGTTGGCTCGGGACAGGCTGGAACTTTGTGTGTGGGTCGTACATAGTATGTACAATAACCAAAAAAAATTCGTGGTAATTCGTAGAATGTGTTCATTGTTTATAGCCCGTTAATTTGACGAATTTTTGTGAAATTTCACGTTATTTGCTAATAACTTCGAAGCTATTGATTCTACAGGAAAAAACCTTTATACTTTTTTGTTTGTCTTGAAATACCGAACAGAAGTAGCTGTTGCACGAAAAAAACAATCAATTTGTTGGAAAGTTACACGCAAAAAACCAATCAATAATTAATTATAAATAAACTATCGGGAGACGATTATATTTGTATTGTAACGCCTCGTAATTGACATAAATTACTCTCTTCTAACTAGAGAACACGTGTGCGAAATCTGTACTCGGTAAGTGAAATAGTTTACGACTAATAGCGTTATAAACAAATTAACGAAAGTTCACTCTGTACAAACCTGAGTTGAATTCGTGGTGACGGTGATTTTTTCATCGGTAGATTTCGTTATTATATATGGAAAACCGTTATTACTTGGCAAAAAAATGCAATTTTGCGACTAAGAGAATTTTTTGTTTGAATTTCCTTAGTTGCAAAATGCAATTTACACTGTTTGCAACTTTTATTTTAAACTTTTGATTACACACGTTGATGACAAATTCAAAGAGCTTTCATTTAAAAAAAGAAAATTTCAATTATCTTGAAAATTGAAGGAGCTACGGCCCGATAAACATTATAACCAGCTATTCAACAATTTTAGTATTTAGCGAGAAACAAAAAATATAACTATGATCGGTAGCTTTTCCAATATCATTACTCCAAAGATCGTATGCAAGATGTAAAGGTAAGTTGAAAAAAGGAATTAATTAACATCGGCGGAACACGGATGCTTTTGTTGCGCAGCTGCCTGGCGGCAGGGTGGGGGAAGCTGCTGCGAGTCCGAGCGAAAGTCGACTCGGACGTTCAAATTCAACTGCGCGACTTTAATAACTTATTACTCGGGAACTAGTTGAGATAAATTGATGTTTTTTTTTAATTTGATACTTCGCAACGAGAAGAATTCATTTCTGTTGATATAAATTCTGTGATATCGTAAATTTACTCCTGAAATTCGTAAAATTTACTATGTATTATTTTATATTTGTTTTATTGAATATAATCGGGTGAAAAATAATGAAAAGCGTTTTACAGAAAATAGATTACGCTTATTATGTACATATAATACGTATTTATTATTAATATTCGTTACAGTATTAATTTTTTTTTTATTTTTTAGTAGGCGGGCTATTTATATTATCACTTTCATCACTTTCTGACCCTTCGTTATCGGTTAATTCACTTGTCGCAGGAATATCGTAAGTGATTCCGGTAGTAAATGTATTTTCATCATCGTACAGTTCTTCATTGTCTTCATATTCATCTTCTTACTCTTCGTCTTGTTCTTTATTATAATTTATTGGTGGCAAATCAGTAGATGCTTTTTTATTGGAGCAGCTGTGTCCCCTACATATTTTGCAGAAATCCGAACATTTCAAACCATTTTTGACGCAACCACAAGATTTCGTGCAGTCTTTTTTGCAGCTGCATTTAATATTTTTTAAAATATCATTGGGTACTAGATTTCCTTCAGTAAAAATTGGTTTATAAATATTATTTTCTAGTTTCCAGCCCCAGTTCAATGGTTGAAAACTATTGTCGGATTCTACAATATTTTGATCGGAGTCATCTTTCCGACCAAACCAAGTTTGCACTTGATAATATACACGGTATGCGTGATACACGGCTGACGATTCACTCGGAGGTAAGCATTTCAAAGAAAATGACTTGTTACGCACGCCCTTTTCATAACAATGATACCTAAATTGGTTCAATGTCATATTTTGGTTTTGCTTACCTCCGTATATTGCTATTATTGCCTCGTTAGCAGCAGCAGTTATTTCAATTTTCGATGCTTCAGGGTTATTAAATATAGCTAGTTTTGCAGTTAATTGCTCATTTGATTCTGCAGCTTTCAATAATTTATTTTTTCCTTGATTGAAAAAAGCGGAGGTTGCATCGCAGCCTGTAAAAGCGTGCAACAACAAAACTAATGATTTTAATTGTTTATGCTTGAAGCTGTTCGAATCATAGAGACTAATAACACCTTTCGTCTCTTTTTTTAGATATACTAATTTGTCGCTCGGAGTAAGTTGCGCCATAATTACTAAAAGATCCGTATCAGAACCTATTATCACTGAGGGGGCTTTACACTCGAGCTGAGTTCTATGGCAGTTTGTACGATTAAAAGATCAGCATCTTCTTCAGCTTGTCTGACTTCAATTGCTGTTGGTAATTCGCTCGCCAAGAATGCAATAAAATTTTTTTTATTGACTTCATTATCTAAAAAGTCGGCTTGCTTTTGAATCAGCGGCGTTTGTGCACTAAACTCAACTTGTGAACAAATTCTCTTAGCCTTGCGACGCATCCGTTCTGCTGATTTTGTTCCTACTTTATCATATCCATCAAACACTATAACCAACTTGCAGTCTTCGCATTCATATTTTTTCAAATGATTGACGTATTGTTGAACCAGGTCACCGAATGTCAAATCCTTCTCTGTCGGGATATTCCAAATTAATTTTTTTAATAAATATCCACCATCAATAACGTGATAAGCTGTTGAAGGTGGTACAGAATTTTTTTCGAAATTACTAGCAAATTTAGATTTGTCAGTTTTTCGCAGCATTCCGTTTTCAAATATTGTTACTGGGTAAGGTGCAAGCTCGTATGCAAGATATTGCATTAAAGTAGCTTCATTTCTCACAGCCTATGAAATGCGTTGGAATATCAACGTTGGATTAATTGTTATGATTTCCACGCTGTCTACAATAACTTTTCCTACCGCGGCTTGTAATGATACGACTAGATTTTTTTTTGTGAATTTCATTTTATCAAACGTTGGCGCCGGTGCGACTACATTTCGCAAAAGTTCTGTTCCTACCTGCATGGCGAAATGACATGTGATACTAGAATCTCCCATTATGCCAGTACTAAGAGATACTGGGACTGACGCAACTGGGAAAGGATTATTCTTGTGAAAAAAAGCAAGAATCTTTTGCAGTTCTGCGTAGTCTCTTTTCATGCGTATTTGTCGAGAATCTTTGTGTTGCTCACGCGAGGTAAAATTCACGTTGGAATATGATTGTAATTCTTTGCTCAAATCTACCATAGCTGGGGTAGATAAAGTCCACTGGTCTTGAACACTCGGCGTGACACCACGATCACGTGTAAGACCTCCTTTGGTTTTCATCAGTCGCATCAACGACTGCTCTATAACCATATCGGACCAGACCCCGGACCAAAATTTATCCGTGCGCCTGATCGTAAAATAACCTAGTTTGGTAAATTGTTCTATTTCCTCTGCAACTTTACCTTCA